AATACACAGAAAACTCTTGTGTTCCTATACACTAACAATGAAAGGTCAGAAAGAGAAACTAAGGAAACAACCCCATTTACCATCGCATCAAAAAGAATAAAATACCTAGGAATAAAGCTACCTAATGAGGTAAAAGACCTGTACTCAGAAAACTGTAAGATACTAATGAAAGAAATCAAAGATTACACGAACAGGTGGAGAGATATACCATGTTCTTGGATTGGAAGAATCAATATTGTGAAAATGACTATACTATACAGAGCAATCTACAGATTTAATGCAATCCCTATCAAATTGCCAATGGCATTTTTCACAGAATTAGAACAAAAAATTTTACAATTTGTGTGGAAACACAAAAGACCCCAAATAGCCAAAGCAATCTCGAGAAGGAAAAACGGAGCTGGAGGAATCAGGCTCTCTGACTTCAGACTATACTACAAAGCTACAGTAATCAAGACAGCATGGTACTGGCACAAAAACAGAAATATAGATCAATGGAACAGGATAGAAAGCCCAGAGATAAACCCATGCACCTATGGTCAACTAATCTATGACAAAGGAGGCAAGGATATACAATGGAGGAAAGAGTCTCTTCAATAAGTGGTGCTGGGAAAACTGGACAGCTACATGTAAAAGAATGAAATTAGAATATTCTCTAACACCATACACAAAAGTAAACTCAAAATGGATTAAAGACCTAAATGTAAGACCGTATACTATAAAACTCTTAGAGGAAAACAGGCAGAACACTCTTTGACATAAATCACAGCAAGATCTTTTTCAATCCACCTCCTAGAGTAATGGAAATAAAATCAAAAATGAACAAGTGGGGGCTTCCCTGGTGGCGCAGTGGTTGAGAGTCCACCTGCCGATGCAGGGAACACGGGTTCGTGCCCCGGTCTGGGAAGATCCCACACGACGCGGAGCAGCTGGGCCCGTGAGCCATGGCTGCTGAGCCTGCGCGTTCGGAGCCTGTGCTCCGCAATGGGAGAGGCCACAACAGTGAGAGGCCTGCGTACTGCAAAAAAAAAAAAAAAAAAAAAAAAAGGGACCTAATTAAACTTAAAAGCTTTTGCACAGCAAAGGAAACCATAAACAAAATGAATAGACAGCCCTCAGAATGGGAGAAGGTATTTGCAAATGAAGCAGCTGACAAGGGATTAATCTCCAAAATATACAGACAGCTCATGCAGCTCAATATAAAAAAAAAACCCAATCAAAAAAATGGGCAGAAGACCCAAATAGACATTTCTACAAAGAAGACATACAGATGGCTAAAAAGCACATGAAAAGATGCTCAACATCATTAATCATTAGAGAGATGCAAATCAAAACTGCAGTGAGGTTCCACCTCACACCAGTCAGAATGGCCATCATCAAAAAGTCTGCAAATAATAAATGCTGGAGAGGGTGTGGAGAAAAGGGAACTCTCCTACACTGCTGGTGGGAATGTAAATTAGTACAACCACATGGAGAATAGTGTGGAGGTTCCTTAAAAAACTAAAAATAGAGCTACTATATGATCCAGCAATCCACTCTTGGGTGTATATCTGGAAGCAAACCATAATTTGAAAAGATACAAGCACCTCAGTGTTCATTGCAGCACTATTTATAATAGCCAGGACATGGAAGCAACCTAAATGCCCATCGATAGATGAATGGATAAAGAAGTCGTGGTACGTGTATACAGTGGAGTATAATGCAGCCATAAAAAAGAACAAAAGAATGCCATTTGCAGCAACATGGATGGACCTAGAGATTGTCATACTAAGTAAGACAGAGAAAGAAAAATATCATATGATATGGGTACAAATGAACATATTTACAACAGAAACAGAGTCACAGATGTAGAAAACAAACTTATGGTTACCAAGCGGGGGGTAGGGGGGAAGGGATAAAGTGGGAGATTGGGATTGACATATAAACACTACTATATATGAAATAGATAACTAATAAGAACCTACTGTATACCACAGGGAACTCTATTCAGTACTCTCTAATGGCCTGTAATGGAAAGGAATCTAAAAAAGAGTGGATACATGTATAACTGATTCACTTCACTGTACACCTGAAACTAACACAACATTGTAAATCAATTACACTCCAATAAAAATTTAAAAGAAAAAAAAAGAAATTACAACCGTGCTAATAACTCTTAGCTAATTAGGATTAGAAGGGTATGTGTATACTGGAAAGTCAAAGCAAAAATCAGATCGAATGGTAAAACATTAGGAACCTTGTAATTGTAAGGCTGCTTCTGTCACTGTCATTCTTACATTGCTTAAAATCAGGGACTAGCACACACACACACAAAAAGAAAAAAGTCTTACAGCCAAATCTGGCCTGACCCCTGTTTTTGTAAAGAAGTTTCTTTTTGTAAAGAACATACCTGGGCCCGTTTGTTTACATACTGTTTACAGCTGCTTTTTTGCTACAGCAGGAGAATTGAGTAGTTGCTATAGAGACTGTCTGGCCCACAAAGCCTAAGATATTTACTGTGTGGCCCTTTTCAGAAAATGTTGGTGACTCTTTTGCTAGATGGCTGATCACTGCAAGGACAATTTTTATTCTGTTTTTAAAAATATATATTGGAATGAAACAGACATTATGCTCAAGGCACAAAGCATCAAAAGTATATATACTAATAAAACTATATATACTAAATATTCAAATTTGTCTATGACATTGCTAAGTGAAAATAAACTGCATGTAGTATCGATATATATACACACACATATACCCATATATACCTTAAAATGTATATAAATGAATAGGAAAAAAAGACCTGGAAAAGTACACACAGGCTCTTAATGTGGTTAACTGTGAACAGTGGTATTCAAAGAGTGTCGTTTGCTATTTGTTTTGCCATTTCTGCTGTCATTCCATTTCTTTCACAAGGTACAAAGTTGAGATACAAGAGTATAGGTATTGAGATTCCTTCCTCTTATCCTTGCTCTTCAGTTCTACGCTGTTTCTTGTTTTATCCACTGCAAGATGTTCAATTCTGTGTTCCTTTTAGTTGAAATTTTTAAAGAGAATTTGAGAGACTAGAAATCAGCCCTTAAGGGGATTATAATCAGCATATATCAATATATTAGTGAAAATCAGGAAAAATTTTTATACAGTTTATGCTGGTTAAATAAATATAAATGATCCCTCCTCCCCCAATTAAAAACCCAGTTTCTTGGGCTTCCCTGGTGGCGCAGTGGTTGGGAGTCCGCCTGCCAATGCAGAGGACACGGGTTCGTGCCCCGGTCTGGGAGGATCCCACGTGCCGCGGAGCGGCTGGGCCCGTGAGCCATGGCCGCTGAGCCTGCGCGTCCGGACCCTGTGCTCCGCAGCGGGAGAGGCCACAACAGTGAGAGGCCCGCGTACCGCAAAAAAAAACAAAACAAAAAACCAGTCTCTGGATGTTTGCTGATAATGTCAAGTATTTTGATCCTCGAAAGTATGATCCTAGGCCTAGCATCATAATCATCACCTGGGAACTTGTTAAAAATGCACGCTTGAGGAAGGGTGGTAGGAGAAAGGTGGTCATAAGGTACAAACTTCCAGTTACGGGAGAAATAAGTACTGAGGATATAATGTATGGATGTATAGGATGGTGACTGTAGTTAACACTATTGTATGGTGTATATGAAAGTTGTTAAGAGAGTAGATCCTAAGAGGTCATAAAGAAAAAAGGTTTTTTTCTTTTTTTGCTTCTTTTTATTGTATCTAAATATGGGGTGATTATCATGGTAATCATTTCACAATAAATGTAAGTGAAACCATTGTGGTGTACATCTTAAACTTAAATAGTGATATATGTCAATTTTATCTCAAAACTGGAAAAAAAGGATTTGTGCATTGCCCATTTAGTCTTAAAAAAAAAAGTACTCTTGGGCCCTAACCTAAGGCTATGGAATTAGGATCTGCAACTTGAGAAGCTCGCCAGATGCTTCATGTGCGCATCGCATTTGAGAAACACAGTTCTGAGGACCATAGTGGTTTATCTACTGTCTCTCTTTGAAACATAGGAGAATACTGATAGTGCAGTATGCCCTGTGGAAGGGAAGACAGAGCAGGCTCCCCAGCTGCTGGGCTGTCCACAGCAAATTTTCTCAGAAACTATTTTATAAGTATTGTGCTCTTTCTCTTGGAACCATCTGTGAGTTTCCAATTCATTGGTCTTAGGTGGAGCATGAAAAGTGGTTTTCTTAAAAAAAAAAAAAATGCATCTCAGGTGATTGTAATATATAGCACATTTGGGAATCACTGCATGGATCCTTTCTACATATGGATATACTCCTCTGGACTATACTTAGCACCCTAAAGCCAAAAAACTATATCATTCTTGGATATCAGGCAATGAGGTTATTTTTTCATTCCTGTGTAGTTGAATAAATGATTTCCATGGAGCAAATATAGGCTGGGTCAAGTACAAGTGATGTAACAGTGGTTGATACTCTCTCCTGGACTGGATGTTATTTGATATATATTGGTACTAACTTATTCACACATAAATGAAGTTTCCAGGAATACTTTTCTGCAAATTAATTTAACAATTCTTTTCTGAGAGGGTTGAAGCCTTAATATGCAGTATTATCTCTCTTTCTGATAGGAATTTTGTTACTGTAAAAAGATAAAAGTAACATTTCTATTTTAGCACTAATCTTATTATTAACCTAAAGTGACACTGAATATAGAACTGACACTTCGGCCCTCTGACACTGAGCTCCGTTAGATAGAGTCATTAGCTTTAAGACTTAGATTATATTTAAACAACAAAATGAGCTTAGTGTGGACATTGTAAATCAAGCCCATGTGTGCAATATTGTTTTGTGTTTTTTTTGTAGCCTTGTAACCTCATACATTCGGCAGCATAGCCGTTTTTCTCAGGGTCTATCATAATCTCTATATGAGAAGTAACCTGAGAGACTTTGAAATGTCACTTACGACGTAACTACTTTCAGTGATGTTTTTTAATGTATTAAAATATCGATTTCTGTTTTCCTTAGGCTCAAAGTCTAACTCCCCAGGACTACAGTCTGAGGTGGTCGGGCCTTTTGGTGACAGTGGGCGAAGTCCTGGAGAAGAGCTTACTCAATGTCAGCCGGACTGATTGGCACGTGACTTTCACTGGCATGTCTCGTCGGCAGATGATCTACAGTGCAGCCAAAGCGGTAGCAGGCATGTATAAACAGCGCCTGTCCCCCAGGACCATGTGAGAAGGCTGGCCTGGGATACTGACACTTGCTAACTTTGAGCTGCTAGTGGAGAAGAGACAGTCCCTTCTTAAACTGGACAACTTCAGTCAGTCCAGCTGTTTTGATCATTTTCCTGTAGGCTGCAGTTGTTTTCTTAGAAAGGCATGGTGTCATTCCAGTAGATGAAAAGAAACAGATCCTTTTTCTGATTATATAATTGCACGTACCAGTAGTTCTCAAAAAATATATAAATATTTTTATAGGACAGTTTGATACATCAGATTTATAAGGTGCAAATTCATGTGCTAAGATATTTAACTTAATGATATGTACTTGATTATTTTGTTTTTTAAGAAATAGTTGACTAAAGAACATGTTTACCGAACACTGTTTAAAAGCATTGTTTCTTTTAATTCATGATTAATCTCTTACCTGTCCATCTTGGAAGCTTTTCGTGTGTCCGTGTGATCACAGGTCTGATGCTAAGCCATGTGCTCAACAAGAGACTCTTAAGACACCTACTTGTAGGGAGATGGTGCACTTGTCTATGCATATTTTTAACATAGGCCAGAATAACAGAATCGATCATTTTCTTTTTGGTTATCATGTTATACACATATACTGAAAAATTCTTTTTTTTTTTTTTTTTTAATGTTTCAGCATTTCACATTCATACGGTACATCATGTTATACACATATACTGAAAAATTCTTTTTTTTTTTTTTTTTTTAATGTTTAAGCATTTCACATTCATACGGTACAATGAACACTGGGATAATGCATTTTATTTTTTTCATTGCTCTATGACAACTAAGGGGCAAATGAGTCAAGCATATTTAAATTAGAAGCATTTGGGTTTCTTTGCATAATGGTATTCAGTGCTTCCGACAACAGCCATTATTTCTGCTTTAATTCATTTCTCCAACAGTAATAGAGAAAGTTTTGAGAGGAAATTACTTTGTTGTTTATGGGATCAGATGACTGACTTTAAGGTTACTTATTTAGTTTGCCTTAAGCACTGCTTTTCTAACTTCGTGCCATTCTGCCTTTACTTTCTATGGAAGTTTTCCAAGAAACTATTTTATAGTGAACCTGGTTTATTTAGTCCATTATGTTTGTATTTAATGGAAGCTTCTTTTTCCCCCAGATAATATATTTTACCATTTTGGGATTTATACAAATCAAAAATAGTTCATCATCTACTTTTGAACTCAGTATATGAAAGTTCAAATAACTTTTTGAAGATAGTTTCTTATATAAACATAATTTAATTTTTATTTACTCTTCTATATAATTCTTTAGATGTAAAAGAATCAGCACAATTATAAAATCTTTTAAGGTATTGAAGCTCTTATCCTGTGCTGTCATTTCATGTAATGTTAGCTTTGTATTAATATCATTTCAAGTACTTGTTTGATTTCTGCTATTTTCTTTACCTGAGGATGAGAAGATGAAGTACTAATTTTCCATCTGTGTTATGTGTTAATTTCTATGCACTGTATAGTTGTCATTCAGTCTTCTGTGTCATTAAAAGTAATGAGAGAAAGAAGAGAGATGTAGCCGGTTGCTATAGCATATTAGGGACACAGGAATACTTATATTCCCTTTTTATTGGTATTTATGGAACACTTCGTCTGTGTTTTCTCCGTCTTTCGTGAATAAGAGAAGCCTTTCTCTACCATTTGTTTTTATCCTTTATTTTAAAAAGCTACCCTTTATCATGGCATTGGCCTGATGACACATCACTGTTAGGAATGAAGAAACATATGTCCGTAGTTCGTATTTCTGCTTTTTTTCCCTTTTATAGGGAAATTTTACAGATCCTAAAGATAAAATTTTCTTTTTAACTTTACCAAGTCTCAAATATCTTAGTTGATGTTTTTGAGGGTGGTTTTCATAGACTCATTAACATTGACATCCCATTAGAGGACAGTTTTCTTCGAATCCCCAAACAGCAATGGCAGAGTTATTCCGTGGTTTGGGTGCAGGTGATTTCCCTGCACCTGGTAGTTTGCACCCTCTGCTCTTTGTGAGTGGGTGAGGACTAGGGAAGGGCAGATGGAAAAGATAAATACATGATCTTGTTCTGGCCCCTTATTCCTTTTTTGGCCCAGAGTTATCTTTGAAAGGCATCAGTGCATGACTGACTCCACAGTCAACTTTCCCAGCCTCTTGTTTACTTTTTCATTCTTGGATTTCCCTCTTGTACAATGGGCAAGAAAAGTAACTCATTACCTCTCACACACCAGGGCAGTGTGAGCCAGGCGGTCTTTTACTGTTGGTATTTTGTAATGAGATAATGCTGGTCATCAACCTAAGGCCACGGCTCCCTTCACCAATCATCCAGCTGCCCTGTTCTTTTCTTGCTTGTTTCCTTATAATTCTTGCACTAGCATTTTTTAGGGAGAGTTGAGCTCTGGGGCCTTTTACCCTCAAGCATCTTGGGACAACCTGTCTTTAACACAGTTCTTTGCCACTACTATTTTGGTCATGTTTGTGTTATTTTCTTTTCTTTTGAAGTGCTCCCAGAACTACTTACTGAATTTGATAAGTTTGTATACTTTTTTTTTTTTTTTTTGGCGGCACGCAGGCCCCTCACCACTGTGGCCTCTCCCGTTGCGGAGCACAGGCTCCGGACGCACAGGCTCAGCGGCCATGGCTCACGGGCCCAGCCGCTCCGCGGCACGTGGGATCCTCCCGGACCGGGGCACGAACCCATGTCCCCTGCATCGGCAGGCGGACTCTCAACCACTGCGCCACCAGGGAAGCCCAGTTTGTATACTTTTTAATTAAGTGTTGTGAAAGAGAACAGGAAGAAATGCAGAAAGAGTAATTTTACATCAGCCTCAATCGACAGAAGGTACTCAGATTACTCAAATCAATGTAGTCTTGTTATTAAGTTTATCAGGTAACCCTGGACTTAGAGCTGGGCCCCAGACTCTGGGTGGAAAAGTTTGAGCCAATACCTGTAGTTTTCTCCTCTGAATCTCTTATTATTACTTCCCCATTCTTTGTTCTTTCTCTCAAGGATTAATGAGGTAGAAAATTGAGATGAATGGATATAGACAAAATGGTAGTATGATAAATATAAGTAGATAACAGTACAGATGAAAGTGTATTATATACATTAATTCACATTGTGCAAATTAGTAATATACTCAGGGTCAGCTAAATTAGTTTAAGATGTTGTTGCATTTACTTTGTTCCTTGGCTAGAAAAAATTCTAAACAGGAATTTGTGTTCTGTGAAGCCAAATTGGTAATATTCTGTGTTCTAAAAGATGTTAGGTTATACATAAATTAAGAAACTTGGATTTTTACTCCCAGAATATGGTATTGTTTTTTAAGATACTGTGCAGGATGATGTATTGGATAAAGCCAATTTTGTACGTATGTACATATGTCATAAATAAAAAATACCTCGACTTATATCCCAAGTGATTTTTTTTTAATGCTAATCATATTCATATTATATTAGAAGGACCCATATTCCTTTTTGTCTCAGCTGGCTACTGGCTGCCAAGAATTATGTAATAGCAGCTTCAAACACCATCTTTCAAGTGGAACTGTAACATTCAAATACAGTTGACCCTTGAACAATGAGGGTTTAGGGGAGCTGACCCTCTGTACAGTCTCAAGTCCACGTACAACTTTACAGTTAGCCCTCCATATCCATAATTCCACATCAGAGATCAACCAACCACTGATTATGTAATACTGTTCTGCTTATTTATTGAAAAACAAACAGTCTGTGTATAAGTGGACCTGCACAGTGCAAACCCATGTTGTTCAAGGGTCGACTGTGTACCAGAGTTTCAAAGTTAAAGAACTCAGAATATTTGGGGGAGAGGATACATTGGCAGTAATAGGCAGGAAGTTAAGGCCTGTGTTCATAAGGAAACCTCTCCAGTGGGGAGTTTAATTTACCCTTGACCTGCAGGAGTATCTTTTCTTGTAAAAAAAAAAAAATTTACTCATTACTCTTTGCTATTCTGAGCCTATGATCGCCAGACGAGGGATTTTTCTTTTGTTTTGGTGGGGGAAGGGATACATGCCAAAAGACAGTAGGATATTGATTTGGGGATTTATTTGCCAAAAGACAAACTATTGTTTTCAATAGACAAAAATGCGGTTTAGGGCCCAGGAAAAGCCCTGTTAAATTTATACTTTGTTTCAGAATTAACTGGAAGAGGGAAAAAAATGGCAACAGAAACAAAATTGGCAAAGGTCATTATCAAGCAAATTAAAAAATTTAAGGATGAAGGAAATCTTTGGAACTATGCATAAAGTGAACTCATTTTAAGGATTTAAAGCAGTAAGAAAGGGAAGAGAAGCTAACATTTATGTGATAAGTACCTATTGTTAGTTAGGCAATGGAGTAGGCACTTATTTTTATAGATGACATAACCAAATCAGATTAAGCTGCTTATCCAGGATCATCCCGGCAAACAAGTTACAGAGATAGAAGTCAAATGGAATGTGTAAACTAGGTAAACCATTCTCTTCCAAAACGTCCTGAATATTTGCTTCAGGAAGTTATGGGTAAATCACTTATAATTATTTTTTGAATTTAACTGAATTCACATAGTGGCATGAGGACTTTGCCCTAGTATACTTTTAATTTTACAATATGATGTTTAAGGGAAACTATTTTATGCCTTAATTTTCATTTTAGTTTGAGAGGGCTGCTTTGGCTTTGCTGCTGGTATGAAAATATATTTGTGATAACTGGTTATTCTAACTCCCAAAATTGAGAAACCATAAACTAGGTTTACCTTCTAGTATTTTTACAATAAAAGCCAGAGATGTCATTATTGTTAAGCTAGTCTTCAAGCAAGGTACTGACCTGACCACATACGTTTATTAAATATTATAAAAATACTTATGGCTGCTTCAGGGACCACACTTTGAAAACCACTGCTGTAATACAAATCCTGACTCATTCTGCATATACTAAGGTATTTTAGAGAGAGTGATGTCACCAAGATAGCAACATAGGTTGTTCCTGACTTTGCTCCCTCTCACAAAAAGGCCAGCTAACAACTATTCATGGACAAGCCACCACTGAGGGAATTCCAGGCCATGGGGATGAGGTTTAAGCATCTCCCAGTGCCATGGAGACCAAGACAGACCACATTAGATGGTTAAGAGTAGTGGATACACACTGACTGCACTGGCCCTCCCCCAGGCTGGAGCAGCACCTTGCTGTGACCCTGTCGTGGAAAAAAAGAGGCCAGGTGACACCCAGCACTGTGGGTTGCTTTGTGGGAGCTGCTATTCTGGTCTCCAATGGAGGGTGCAGGAGAATCTTCAGGGCTTGACCACTGGGAATCTGACTGTGATGGAGAGGGGGGAGAGGCTTAAAATCACCAGCATTCAGATCTTGAGAGATTGAGTTCAT